CTTGGGCAGGGGGTTGGGCTGGGGGACCCACAGAGGGCCCTGCCAACCCCTGCCATGCTGGGATTGTGGGATTCTGTGAGAGCCGGCCAAGCGCAGAGCCCGGTGCCCTGAGCCCACCCTGGCCCATGTCGGGGTGCCCATGGCTCCTTGGCCAGCTTCACCCCACAGCAAGACCCACGGCAAAGGTTTGGGGCAGGGGGGACTCGGCTCTGGGGCCGGGACCCTGCTCCCCAGCAGCTCTGGTTGCTTTTAGGTTTGATGGGAAACGCAGGCAGGAAAACCGCAGCAGCTACGAGAGCTGGGAATGACGGCAAAGCCCTGGAGATCACAGCAAATCCAGCAAATCCAACAGCCTCTGCTGGAAACCCTCCCAAGGGCAGCCCCCCCGCCCAGGGGCCGAGAGAAATCCCACAAAGAAAGGCTGGATGCGAAAAGGTTCTTAAATATTTAGTTCGGATTTATTTAAAGTCAGTTTGTGGACACTATTTATATTATTAAAAACACTTGGAGATTTGCACTTCTAGCAAAAATATACATTTCAGTTTGAGGGTTGTTACGCTGTCGAGGAGGGAAGAGCAAAAGGTTCCCCAGGTGATGAGCACGCACGTCCTGCGTGCCGGCCACGGCGGGGGATTTGGGAAGGACAAATCCCCCAGGCTCTGTGCAGCACGCACGCGTCTCCGGTGCCTTCCCCGAGAGGGCTTCAAAGTGCTTTAGAAACGAAATTCGTAACAGCCCTGCGAGGTAGGGAGGGGAAGGGGCTGAGCGGGCAGAGGGCAGGGAAACTGAGGCACGGCCAGGAGCCAGTGGGCGGCAGCGGGGCCAGCGCTGTGACACGGAAGGGAAGCCCAGCGCTCTTCCCCTTCGGGCTTTAAAGGAATTATTGCACCAGGGAAATCTGCTACCCTGAAGAGGAGGATAATCAAACACAACCGACTAATTTGCTCCCACAGCCCCTCCGTGGGAATATCAGTGTTTTAATAAGGCTGCGTGGGACACACGGGACCGCGAGCTGCTGGTGGGTAAGTGCTGCTTCTCTGGTCAGACTCCGTCATCCCGAGAGGGGACCGAGCCCTTCCCGGCCCGTCCTCGCTCCCAGAGCCCCCACGCAGGGGTCCCGTCCCAGGCACAGGCAGCACCGAAGCATTTCACTACAGCTGCGAGAAGTTGCGAGGTGGAGTCCGAGAGCGGCTCCGGGTTTGGGCAGACCCCGAGGCCTGGAGCTCGTCCCGCACTCGGGACGGCGGTGGAGGAGCGCAGGGCAGCTTCCCCAACCCGGCCGCGCTCGCCAGGCAGCTCTGCTCACTGTGAGCATCCCACCCTCTCCCTCCCCTTTTATAAATACTTGGCATTTATAGTGTGCTTTACGGCTGCAAAGCTCTTTGCAACCAGTGAACTAATTAACCCCCGTGCCCCGCCTCTGAGCAGAGAGCAGGTGACAATCCAGCTCCCTTTCACGGAGGGGAAACTGAGGCAGGGCGGTTAACAGGTCAATGCCCTTCCAGCATCATGAGGGCCGGCCGTGGCTCTGCCTTCCCCTTGCTGGCGCTGCTGAAGGCTTTGCTTGCCCCGGTGCCCACAGGAGCCGTATTCCCGGGGAGCCTCTGCGGCCCGCGCTGCCCTGCGAGACCCCCAGCGCCCGCCGGGGCTTGGGGAGGGAGCAGCAGGACGAGCCCCACGCGCTGCTGCCCGAACCCCGACCGGTCCCAGGCTTGTCCCCAGCCCTGCACAGCTCCCAGGAACCCAGGTCCACGCTGAACAGCCTGGGCAAGCAAACAGACCCTGGCCTCTGCTCTGCAGGTGAGTGTTTGGGAGTCAAACCCTTGCCCTCGCACCTCCCCATCCCTCCCTGTCTGACGCCAGGGTGCCGAGGGACAGGCTCCCCCGGGAACGGGGGGACCAGGAGCACGGGCTCCCACACGGCACTGGGGGGAAGGCGAGAGCACGCGATGCCTCTGGGAGACAGGAATATGCTGCATGGCGAGGGGGGGCTGCCGCTGAGCTAGGACAGCCCTACCCGTCTTCAAATACTCTGGCTTTTCTTTGGGAAAGAGAGAAACTTCCTTTCACTACACTGTCCTAGACTTCACGGCTCAGGACTACGTCTTCGGAGTGCAATAAGAAAATAAAGACACGCTGTAAGTGCTGTTGCTGGCCCTGCCGGACATCCGCATCGTGCTCGGGTCTCCTAACGCCCGGGGCATCCCCCACCGTCCCCAAGCTGCCGCAGGAACCCCACCGGCCGGCCGCTCCACAGGCCCCGGGGACAAGCGAGAGAGCTGGGCCGCAGTAACGGAAACAGTAGCTGACGATTTGCCTTTGTAAATTCGTTAGTGTGTGTTAACGGAAGCCCTGGCCTAGCAGGGGGTGGCTGCAAAATCTCACGGCATCTTGCCCTATGTACCGTACGCCAGGGTCACGTAGAAAAGAGTTTCCAGTAGAAGAAATGGAAGACACGGGGAAAGGTTTTCTTTGTTTCTGTACAAAGAGTCTTGCTGGGAATCCATGGCTTCATTCTCATAAATAACAGGTCCTTAGTACATGTCCTTGTAGATCTCCTGCAGAAGCGGGTGCAGAGATGTCTCTGCCTCCGTCTTCTTGATCTTCTGCACCAGCTGGGCATGCTCCGTCACCAGCTGCCGCAGGTCGGCCATCTTCTGCAGCAGCTTGGGGAAGAGGTACTGGGCATCCGGGTGGTTGGACTGCAGGTGGAACTCCAGTGCTCGCAGGATGTTGTCTTGGATCTCCTCCACCTGCTTCACGTTCATCAGGCCAGGACGGTCTGTGGAGAGGAAGCAGGGTAGCTGCAGTGTTATGGTGTAGCCCTCCAAAGCACATGTTCCTCCTGGGGAAAGGGAGACGGGGACTGTAACCCACCCACCGTGACTCCAACCTCAACAACTAGACAAGGGGAGAAATGTGCCCTTGGATGATGTATCCCACAGCAGCACACGAGAAGGAGGTGCCACTTCTACGCTCCTTGCTCTTGGTCCAAGCTTGCTAGGCATCATCGCCACGGAGAAGCTTTGGTTTTGGAACTGTTCAGTTCTTCTCTCGTCCCCCTAAGACAGCCCTGGCTGCTCACAGGGCCAGCTGCAGCTCAGTTCCCCCAGCCCAGACCCAACCCCAAGGACAGCAGGACTCTTCCCAACACTCGTGTGGCCCAGAGCGCCCGCTCACCTCCGCACAGGATAATGGCAGCCACAAACAGAGACAGGTCACTGTCATCCAGCTCCAGCGCGTTGAACTTCACAGCAAATTCGAATTTGGGCTCCATGATCTCATTGAAGGGCTTGCGCAGGCTACGCAGGAACTCGCGGGTCACAAAGCCGTTCCCGTTGGCCACCAGCAGCCCATCCTTGTTCATGATGGAAGCCAGCATGGCGAAGATGGCCTCGTGCACCCCATACTTGAGCAGAGTCACTTGGTCGTTCAAGTAGAGGCCTATGAAGCTGGGGATGCTCTTGGCGAACTCGGTGAGCTCCCGCACCGTCTCCACCGTGGTGCACTGGCAGCGGTAGAAGACGTGCACCCCGATCTCCTTGTAGGGGGGAATGCCGTTCACTAGCTGTTTCCACACCAGCCCCTTTTCTGCCTGCCACAAGGTGTCCATGTCATGGATCACAAAAGGCTGCTTGAAAAAGAAGCAAGTGGTTAGGAACCTGCTGCGGGGACTCGAGACACCAGCTCTGCCAAGGACGCTCACATCTGCCTGTCCCTTTGCGGTTCTCTCCCTGCTGGTGCTGACAGTGCCCAGGCAATCTGCACCCACCCATAACAGCACCAGTCTGCGGAGCAATGGGAGTTTTCTGTCTGAACAGGAGGAAGAACTTCTTCCCTCTGAGGGTGACGGAGCCCTGGCCCAGGCTGCCCAGGGAGGCTGTGGAGTCTCCTTCTGTGACCCTGCTTGGGCAGGGGGTTGGGCTGGGTGACCCACAGAGGGCCCTGCCAACCCCTGCCATTCTGTGATTCTCTGTGATTCTGTGGGAGTTTTCCCAGGCAGGACGTGCAGAGCCCACCGGGCTGCAGCGGGGAACTGCTGCACGTGGAAGAGCTGCAGCAGGAGGGAGACGCGCAGAGAGCAGCCTCCCGTGGTGTTTCATGGCCAACCCCGCCTGCCCCGGGGAGGGAACTTACTGGGGTGCTGCTGGCCTTCCCGGTCAAGATACCTCTCGCCTTCTTTTTGGTCATGTTGAAGTTTTTCAGGTAGGCGTTGTAGATGTGCTTGGAGAAAGCTTTCAGGTCGGCCACCTGTGGGTTCTGGCAGCTGATCTCGCTGGCCGTCAGCCCTGCCACCAGCTTCCTCTTCTCTGCCTCCGGCATGCGGCCGAAGCGGATTGCTGTCGGGGGACAAAACCAGCAGGTCAGGACACGGGGGACGACCCCAGGAGACGCGCCCAGGGAGGGAGCAGTCTGCTCTGCCACCGCAGACCGAGTTCTGCTGGTCAACACCTGCAGCTACGCAACACGATGCTTCCCCAGGGCTGCAGCTCCTCCAGCATCGACACCTTCACGAACCAGCCATCACTGCTGCCCTTGCCAACACAGCCTCACGCTAAGCTCCTGGCCCCACTCCTCTGGGCTCTCGCACAAACCCTGCTTCCCACAACCACCTTTGCCTGGCCAGGAACAAGATGGTTACGCCTGAAGTTTAAAAATCCCAGCACAGAAGAGCAATCTGGGCGTCCGGTTCCCCCTGGGCCAACCCGTAAGAGACAGCCGTGTGCCAACAGCCAGCCTGCACGGGGGTGAACAGCCCCTTCTCCTGCAGAAGCAGGGGATGAAGAGCCACAGGCTCAAAGCACTGCATCTGAAAGATGATCCCCAAGCAAGAAGACAGCCACGGGATAAAGCGAGCTACACACAGCCTCCCGGTGCGAACCCTTCCTAGCAGGGCAGAGGGTCCCCAGGCACCCAGCCGGCCAGGCCTGCGGGCAGCGGTCACGCTCACCGTTATGCGACATGCCCAGCGAGAGGCATTTCTGGAAGCGGCAGTACTGGCACTTGTTCCGGTTCTTCTTCTGAATCTTGCAGCTCCTCTCGCACTTCTCGTACTCCAGCTTCATGCGGATTGTCCGGCGGAAGAAACCCTGCAGGCAGGCGGCACAGAGTGGGACACGGAGCCGGGGAACGAGGGAACAGCAGCGTCAGCCCCTGTGGTTTGGGACCAGGCTGGTTTATCATCCCCAGGAGCCCCACGGAGGTCCAGCCGCGTGGGGAGCAGCAGCCCTGGGTCCCTCTGACACAAGCAGAGTCTCTCTCAAGGAGAGGTCGTGCGGCGGGCGAAGGGGGCTGCAGAGGGGGAAGCGTGGAGGGCAGCACCTGCGTGATACGGCTGGGAGGGGTGGAGGAACGAGCAGGGATGTCTGGCAGGACCTGGGCCGCTAACGCAGCCCTGCCGGCATCTGCTGCGGCAGAAAGAACCTCGGAGGCACATCCACGCCACGGCCAGTGATCCCGGGGGGATAAACACACAGCTCTGCAGCACAGAAAGCACCTTTAAAAGCAAAGGCAGGGTCCCCAGAGGAACAGATGGATTTGCCTTATGAAGCAAAGCACGACGGGGCACAATTTGGGCCATGCGCACCCCAGCTGCCTCCCCCAGGTCAGCATTTGCAGGCCTGCCTGTACTTTCCACACTGTCTGGACAGGTTGCAGGTTGATTTTTTTACAATCACTCAACCCCGCATCCCTGTTTTGCTGCAAATCTGCTTGTGTGAAGAGATGGCACGGTCCCTGAGCCAGCAGTGTGCCCTGGCTGCCAAGAAAGCTCATGGGATCCTGGGATGCATTAGGAGGAGTGTGGCCAGCAGGTCGAGGGAGGTTCTCCTTCCCCTCTTCTCTGCCCCAGTGAGGCCCCATCTGCAGTGCTGTGTTCAGTTCTGGGCTCCCCAGTTCAAGAAAGATGAGGAGCTACTGGAGAGAGTCCAGCGGAGGGCTACAAGGATGGTGAGGGGACTGGAGCATCTCTCCTACGAGGAGAGGCTGAGGGAGCTGGGCTTGTTCAGCCTGGAGAAGAGAAGGCTGCAAGGGGACCTAATATATGCTTATAAATATCTGAAGGGTGGGTGTCAGGAGGAT